TGCACAAAAGAGGATAAAATTTGCTAAACAATACATTAAAACATAATAAATTATAAATATTAATAAATGTTAAATAAATCATAATTATAATTAATTGCATAATTTGTCTCAAATACAGTCAACTCTTTTTTTTGTTATATTTATATTTATTTTTTAAAATAAATTTTTCATTTTATATGATATGCAATGAATTATGTATTTCTAAACACAACAAAAACTATTATCAAATTAAAACAATAAAACAAATGCTATATCAAATACATATGGGATAGTTTAAAATCCAAACCCAATCCCAGTTATAACAATAATGAGGTCATTATTATCGATAACTTTTTAAAATAACAATTTGTGGCAAAAATGGCAAAAAATGACATTAAATTTACAATATTTCTTAAAGCAATTACCGATTCGGCTGTTAATGAAATCTTTATGAAAATCTTCGCCCATTAATATTGTATATAAAATATCATTACATTTGTCAATGGATTAAATGTTTGATTTCATAACCAATCGATTTGATATCCATTTGATTTAATGTACAAAAAAAAGTTTTTTATTTGTTTGAATAGAAACTAATTGAACAATATTTTATTTAAATTGAGGGCAGATATACATGCATTGGCACCTAATTAGTTCCCCACCCTTTTGCCACAGCATTCAATCACAAACCATAAATATTAATAAAATTAAATACTGTTTTGATTATTAAATTTATGTGTAAATCCATTAAAGAGCTTAATTCAGAAAACTAATTGAAAGAAATTTTAGTTTTATTATTAGCCAAACATTTCCTTAATTTTCAATATAAAACACAAAAAAATACATTTAAATATAAGGTTTGAATTTCCTTCTTATCCCTAAAATGATAATATCTTATAATTAAATATAAATTTTTATCATTATATGTCTGAAAAATGATTGAACATAATGTCAGGTCATATGGATTACAGATTATATGAATTATATTATGATATTCTGTGCGATCGATAATCAATGAGAAAAGCAATTCTTAATTAAACAAAACTTTTGTATTATTAAAGTGTTATTATTTTATTAGATTGTCTTTATTTTTTGTTTATTAATATTTCGTTTCATTTATATCTAGATTATAATAAATAACAATTATTTCTAACGAAAAGAAATAAGACTTAAAAATAAATCATAATTTATTTGATTTTGTTTCCAATAAAGTGAGAAAATAATGATCCGATTCTGTATTATAAAGCGATTAATTTATTGAATTTGTATCACATTTTGAACATATATTAATTTTATTTCTTATTTGTATTTACTATTAATGTATTAATAATTAATGTCTCGAAAGATTTCAATTATATTTAGTTTTTTACAAAAATATTATTTTATTTGTATTTCAACAGCAAGTTATATAATTCAAACAAAAAATCAAATTATTTATTCAATTATTTTAATACCAAATGCAGAGAGATTTTTGTCACTTAAACTCATTTATAATTTTAATTATAATAAAAAGTTTATTTAAATTTCAATAAATATATTCCATTTGAATACTATGTCGTAAATAATATGTTATTTAATACTCGTTTTGTCAGTTGAGGTCATAAAATATAGTTAAGTATTAATTCTTATGGATTATAGTTAAAAGTAGTTTTTAATTACTAAAATATATTTGAATAAAGTATGAAATATCATTGAATAACTTATTTGATTCCATGGGATATCTTGTATTTCAATCATTTATCGACAATGAAATGTCTACTTCTGGTGTTAGGATTGTTTCATTGATATATCCATTTAATTGTTTGATTATAAAGCCATCGCATTAACTATACCTACAATTATATTTGATGGGATAGTTTGGGTGTGAATACAAGGTATGGTTTGTAGAAATTTAGACAAAATACTGTATTTAAATATGAATATACAGTAAAAGTAATTTCAATTGTTTGACATTTTAAACTCAAAATTCATTGCATTTATTATTAATTGCTTTTGACAATAGAGTCGATTCAAAACGATTAAAATAATTTAAAACATAATATAATTAAATAATAAGAAACGATCGAAAAAAGTTTGGTTCCCTTTTTGATAGACATAACCAGTGATAAGAACAATGCATTTAAGGCCACAACACATTGCTATCGGGTTTCAAATAAAACAATTGTAATTATGTTTTGCTGAGAAAACAATTAAACTAAAAAACAAGACCACAAAAAAATGTTACTACAAGTTATACACCTATTATTTAAAACAAATAATCTTTAATTAGACAAAAAACAGTTTGAATGCATAAACATACGTGTATTATGTTTTTATTAAGTATTTAATCAATTGAATGCAAACCCAAATGAAGAAAAGTAAATAAAAAATGGTAATTCAGTTGTAATAAAGTGGTAAAAAATGCAATTCACGTTAGCTTTACTAACCATTAATTATGCCTAAATGTTTCCGGCGTTCAAATAAACCCGAAACACAACTACTTTTTGCATAAATACATACGAAATAATTAATGCAAATCGTGAGCTCATGTCTATTGGTTTTATTGGCCGCACATATCAGACAACAGATCACTAATTGAAATGAAAATACATTTTTTCGCTGCGAAAACCTCACGAAGAATGGGAACAATTTGTGTGGAAAAGTTATTTATGGCTTATCTTTTACGAGAAATGCGATATATTTAATGACTGGGAAACAGAGTTGCAATAATTGGCGCTATTTTTTCTCTCTCTCTCGTAATAATGTTATGTAAAATGATTTCGTTTTATTAATAATTTTTATTTATTGTTAGTAAAAGTGAATGAATAAAAACGTTTACAATAAGTATTCAAATGGAGATTTCTGCTAAAACGAGGTGTGAATTATGTTATATTAGATTCAATGATCAAAGAGATTAGAAAAAACAGTTTTAAATTTAATAATAAAATTGCAATTAATGTTTTAGTGCATAACTTAATGTATAAAACGTCTCAATTAATGCCAATAAAGAGATAACTTAACATCAGTTAAGAATTACTTTAACATTCATTTAATTCTCGCAAAATATGATTACGAATAATAAAACACTCATTCGTTGCCAAAGACTTGTAAATCGTAGCGGAAATCAATTCAACGAATCATTTCCTCTCATTATTATCGTAGAAAACAACGGAAAATAAGACATTTGTTTCGGCACTTGATTTCAAAGTAGAGATAAATGAGAAGAAATAAAAACATATCATATCTTAAATAAAAACTACAAAATTAAATGTATAACAAAAATATAAACTGTTTTAAAAATGCGTAAAATATTTATGAAATTAAGTAAACGAACAAAACGTTTCGTAAACTAAATAAAAGTGTGTAAAAAATTTCAAACGAAATGCTTTCATATGATTTCACAACGAGAAGAGGTCGTCGTCGGCGAAGAACTTTTCGCTGTTTTGACTCTCTTTCACCTCTTTTTGGACAAATTCATGCAATTTCTCAAAGTTTCCGATATTTAGATTATTGCTTAACTGCTGTCCAATCACTTTATTGTCACCCAATCTGTAAACACAATTAATAACCATTTAATTAAAGAAAATTACATTAAAATATGGTCTAAATTACCGGAAAAAGTTATCGTCAAAGCCGTAGTGAGCGGTGGAGGGTCTGTCCGGACGGACGTTCTCATCGCTACTGAGATCAATGAGTGGCGTCTCATTCAATGCCTGACGAGTGGGCACAACAGGTCCAGTCTTGTCCTCTTTGTTGATGGCTTTGTTTTGCGGGTCAATCGAGCGATTGGTGCGGCGCTCGTCGGCATTGTTTGAGATTTGTTTCCATTTGTCGAAAGCAATACTGAATGCCTGAGAAATGGTGAGAGCCGTGGCCTCCGCTATCTTGCGTTTGGGGGTAAGGAATGCGTGACATTCATGGGTTTCGTTAGCGTTGGTCGCTATGAAAGCCACCACTCGATCAAAGGTCGCATCCGCTGAACAGTAAGAGATCCTATCGTTTCGTAGAGACAATCGTTTAATACAAATATCAATAAACACTAAAATACATTATCAATGCATAGAAAGACAATTAACCGATAAATGGAGAGATTAAAGAGCTGTTCCCCAGAGTTGGAGTCATTAGCACTGATGCCAATGGGCTTTACATTAATGGAAACGTGTCTTAACTTCTTTCCGCTCGCTTTGGCCTTCAATTCAATGACAAAACAAATTGATTGCGAAATCCTTTGTATAAAACACACAATTATTTGCATACCATTTGAATGATACGTTTGATTGCTTCGGCGGTCAACACATCACTGGACGGCTCTTCAATGGCAGTACTTCCCAAGTATTTGCAGTAAAAAGTGATGCCTTCGATGACGGGTGCCTTACAGTCGGTCCAGTCTTCGGGCAACTCTGAAGACATCCAAACAAAGCAATTGATTATCATTGAAATCGTGCGCAAAAAGCAATGCAATCTTTCACTTACTCTTATGTTTGGACTTTTTAATGCCAAATGTCCTCAATATAGCGGCCATTGATACCAATTATCACTTCAATTGATCCAAAAGTGTGGCCAATCGATGACTTTGTTTGCACAATAAAACACAATGCAATGCAAACGCACCACAAATACAAATGCAATGAATGTATTGTTTATCGCATTTACAGATAAAACGGGATTTAAATGGGATTTAAATGACACGAAATGTGACACAAAATAAATAGACTAACAATTAATTGACGATTAAATTGCTATTCAATTAAAATCAAGACTTAAATCAATTCATTTGGTGTTTGCGTTCAGACATTAGACAATCACAACAAACGAGTGATGCATTGCATGTGAATTGAGGCCACCATTGGTTGCAATGAGACAATTGGTGTCAATGTCTTCGTGTGTTCAACTCCTCAGCGATTCAATGATGGTTTTGATGGCAAACCAATCGCTCAATGCTTTCACTCTTGTCTTCACTCGACTCTTGTTGTTGTTGTTATGATATGCTATGAAATGCACTCATATTGTCATCCCTTGACAGCCAATCGCAGCGCAAACACGTGATNCTCGACTCTTGTTGTTGTTGTTATGATATGCTATGAAATGCACTCATATTGTCATCCCTTGACAGCCAATCGCAGCGCAAACACGTGATTGTGATGTCATTGGAGGCCAACCATCACCACAACCTCCTCCACAACCATCACCAGTGGTTCATCAGATTCACTCAAATTACCACTACTTTTGTTGCATTTCTCGCAAAGTATTTGTCATGTTTTTAACCGAAAAAATTAACTAAACTATAGTTTAAATTAAATTTTGCAAATTTTTCACTATTATTTATCGCATTATCGTTTATCGCAAACTCTACAGTATTTTCCGTATAAAGTTTTTGTGGCATCAAATGTGCCCAAAGGGGTGTCACGGATAGTGTGGTCAGTGGTGGCCATCATTGGACTAATAATGCACTTTTGACTAGATTTAACATGCATTTATACAATTATAAAGTTATTTTATTAATTTGTAAGCTAAAATTTTATTTTAATAATAAGTTCACTGCCAAACAGCCCCCCAATAGCCCCCTGAGTGGGCCATCGCGTGCACGTATGGCAACGCCTGTATTGCACACAAACAGAGCGTGTCGTCAGTCTATGGCTTCACAGATGGCTGTGAAGTATTACTCGCGAGAGTCGTTCGCAACAAACGTTACAACTATTTCGTGAGGCAATGATAGTAGTATTGCATTGAAATAATGTGTGATTTGTGTAAATAAAGTCAATAAACGGGTCGATAATAGTGACGGCATTTGTGGCGAACCCCTAATTGTATTGAGTGAATGAGGAAGTGTTTCATGACTTAAGCCGTGGTTTGAATCGCCGATAATTAGCGGACAAACCATTGGTTTTGCGCCAAACGGGCGATGAGTGGCCACGCGTTGCCTCCGTTACCCAAATCGTTGACCACTCGTCCCGACGCCGAGTGGACTGACGAGAGGGCGGCGGCGAAGAGCGAGAAGACCACCGAAACCACGACCTCCTCGTCGACGGCCGCCAGCGGTGGTGTCGATGGCGTCGACGCCTCGGCTGAAGACTCGGCCACTAATATGGGTAACAATCGATTGGACGAAAAGCTGTCGATTCTTCGCCGCGAAATGATTGGCTTAAGACAGTTAGACATGTCTTTGTTGTCTCAGTTGAATGCTTTGCAGCAATCGATACAATCGTATAAACAGATCCTAAACTGCGACTACAATACCGACGGACAGC